CCAGACCAGCCTTCGTGCGCCTTCAATCTTCGGTAGCTGTCTCTTATACACATCTAGATGTGTATAAGAGACAGCTCTCTGTGTGTCCGCTGCCGATCACTCTCTCTCCCTCTCCGTTGTCGATCACTCTGTCTCTCTCCCCGCACAACGAAACCGTCAGCCCTCGCGGGAACCACAAAATCACCGCGAACACTCGACGGAACGAAAAGGTGTTGTAAACAATACAAAAAATGAAAACTGTGTGTATCTGTATGTATGAAATAACATGTATATGTATCAAAACAAAACAAAAAATGAAAACAAACAAGTACACTGGTGTTAACAATCTCACGATTCATCAGCGTGACGATGTCGTTGTTAACGTCAACGTCATCATCGTCACCATACAACACCATCATCATCGTCACCATCAGTTCGCGCCACTCAGCCGATAAACTCACGATTCGTAGCGGGATCTCGCAACACCAACCGGCTCGCTTTGGAAAGGAGGGCGATGACGACTACAAGAAAAGTCTTTAAAAAAAAAAACTCCCCGCCTTGTCGTGGCCATCGCTCCCTGCCTCGTCGTTGTCCTCGTCGCCATCGCTCCCCGCCTCGTCGTCGTCCTCGTTATCGTTCCCCGCGTCCTCATCGGACGTTGGTGGCGACATCAAATACCAATTAGGCGGGGGGGGGTTGGACCACGAATCGAAGTGGCTGTACGTGGCGGCGATCTCCGCCCATCCGATCGGACCTTGGCTCGCAACCACACCCCAACCGCCGTTTAGCTGATCGGGGGCGACCGCGTTTGAGCCCCATCCTGCACTTCTGCTGTCGTCGTCGACATGCACCTGGGCTGGCGGCATGGCTGATGCCGCTGACGGGACCGTGCTGCTACCTGGAACAGCCACCTGGGCTGGCGGCATGGCCAATGCCGCTGACGGGACCGTGCCGCCACCTCGAACAGCCACCTGGGCTGCCGCTGACGGGACCGTGCCGCCACCTGGAACAGCCTGTGTGTGGACGGTGACGCCGATATGGCCTGCCGTCCCCTGTGTGCTGGTGCTGCTGTTCCCGCCGTCTGCCATTCCCATTCTCTCTCTCTCTCTCTCTCTCTCTCTCTCTCTCTCTCTCTCTCCTGTCTCTTATACACATCTAGATGTGTATAAGAGACAGCCACTGCACCCGACCCGAAAGTTACCCTCTCCCA